GATCCGAATTATAACGAGATAATAGTAAAAACACACATTTAAAACATTATTTTTCGTGAGTTCTCAATCTGAAGTATTAGGTATTTACGTTTTTATCTGAACTATTGCTAACTATTTATCATAACATACTTCGACTTCTATTCGATGATATGTGGTGTAGATCGTAGACTCTCTTTTTGTTTAAATATGATGAATGACACTCCATAAAGATAATTAAAGAAATTAATTGAATTTTTTATAAAATGTTAAGAGTTAATGGCCAAAACACCCCTGAAATATCACCTTTTTGCGAGTTTTCTATCTGAACTATCATGCGTTCGTGTTTTTTTATTGAGAAAATAGACAAATGCCTCCCTAACCTATTCTTGAATTCTCAACTACACACTTATACTTTGCACGGGTCCTATTACCCTCCTTAATTTTTCAAAAATAAAATATATATCACCCTAAAACTAGACAACCACACTCTCAACATGTAGTGATGCCCACTCGTTGCTAGCTGTTATTTTTTATTATTTATATTTATTTTTTCCTTTGTATCTCCTTTTTCATTAATGACAAAAAGATATTTACTCTTTTTATTCCTCCTTCTTCTTTTCTCTTTTGGTTTTCATTCACTTCTTCCAAATTAGTCATTCATGAAAAAAATCGAAGTTATTTTTATTATCATTTTTTCATCACTTTATATCATCCTTTAGGCACCTTGACGAGCTTGATTACTCATCTCTTTATAATTTTTTATTTTTTATTATGTTATTTCTTTGTCTCCAGGACACCAAATTTGTAATATTTTATTTATGGGTTATTGATCGTTAAATTCTTGGGTCTTCACCAAACAACAATAGAGATTGAAGATAAAATTTGATGGTTGATGTATGTGACTGACCTAAAATCGATGAAAAGGTAGATTAACGGTGTTGATATTTTGAACTAATTTGAGATTGATAAAAATGAAAAAAGATGGATAACCCAAATCAATACCCAAAACTCATGTTTAGTTTGCTTTATGAAATTCATGATCGAAAAAATTTATTTTATAGTCATAATTATTTCAATTCACTAGATTTCTCCAATAATTCAAAAAAAAAAAATCAATAATAGAAAGAATTTTTATGATGGAAGGTGTTTAATAATTCTATTCTTTTTTTAAGTTTTGTTTCTCCTATCTTTCTTCTTCTGTTTTTTTTTTTTTTTGGTCTTTACTTTGTGATTATTTTTTTTTGGAATATTGAGATTAAGGACAATTTGATTTTTTCGGCAATATGAGTAACAATTTTAATAATTATTTGAAGATTTGCAGTGTTAGTTGTAGTAAATAGTGAAACAAATTGTAAGAAAAAAATAATTAGAAGATGGATAAAAAGATGTAGTTAATGTAGTGATGGTGGTTCAAGGTGGAGGAAATGGTGATGCGGTGCATGTTAAGTAATGAGAAAGAGAGGGGAAAAAAGAAAAAGAAGCAAAAAACTTGAAGAGAAGAGTAAAAAATATATATTTAACAAAAAGTCAAATTAAAAATATTATAAAAATATTATTTATCAATTCTTCTTACTTCCACATGCCTCCAAGAGAGTGAGGACACTCTCTGTGCCATGTCAGCATCTAAGGGTGAAATTATTTCGTTTTAAAATAGTCTAGGGGGGTGATAGGACTCTCGTGAAACATAAGTGTGTAGTTGGAAATTCGATAATAGGTTGAGGGGACATTTGACTATTTTCTCTTTATTATTTAAACTATTACCAACTATTTATCAAAAACATGCCTCAAAATTAAATGAATCAACTGCCATATGGACGGAATCTTATGAGCAAATTAAGTTGTTCCACATCTAGTCAACTTTGATGTGTGTTTTGATAAATAGTTAATGATTATCCAAATACAAAAACAACAACAATGACATACCCAATGAAATTCACAAAGTAGTGTCTGGGAGGGTAGAGTGTGCGCATGCCTTACCACTACCTCGTGGAGGTAAAAAGACAAATTTCAAAAGACCCCCGGTAAAAGTGCATCAATCCCAAATAAAAGAAGAAAAAAACAATGAAAAAAGTGTAATGATTAATAAGAAAAGCAGTATAAAATCTACATGAGAGAAACAATAACAACAACAAAATAAAACAGACAACATATGACAAGAACTATAAGAGCGAGGCTAGTTCTACACCAAGCACTAAACCTCGCAAGGCAAGACAACAATACTCTACCCCACTACCCTTCAATCCTAATACGCGATCTCTACTCCTTCCTATCGAAAGGCATATCTTCAGTAATATAAAGTTGCACCATGTCCTGCCTAATCACCTCTCCCGAATAATTTTTTGACCTACCCCTATCCCTCAGCGTACCCCTACAACCAGCCTCTCCGCGTTTCCTCACCGGGACATTGATGCACCTCCTTTACACATGTGCCACATGCACAAACCATTTCAATCTCACTTTCCTCATATTCTTGTTCACCAAAGCGACTACTCCCACCTTCTCCCAAATAATTAATAATTATTCAAATAAAATATAAAATAATTAATAATTAAGATATAAGAATTGAAAAAAAAAATAGTTCACGGATATTTTTGACCACGATCTTAAATATACAAAATAAATAGCCTATTCAAAAGTATGGACCCTAAACACACAAATGTGCCGCCTAGAAATTAAAAAAAAAAACATTTTCATTCAATAAAGGAGGTTATATTTTTAGCCTATTTTTATTCTATATTATAAGCAATCAAACATATGAATATCATGTAAAATGTATAAATATGTAACAAAAATATCAAATAAATTTCACAAATTTTGATCCAAATCCCAGAAATTTCTTTTTTTTTTGTTCAATTAGTTGGCCATGGCGGATGAATCTCAAAAATGGGTTTTGATGGTAACAGCACAAACACCCACTAACATTGCTGTTATAAAATATTGGGGAAAAAGAGATGAAAACCTAATTCTTGCAATTAATGATAGTATTAGTGTAACTCTTGATCCTGCACATCTTTGTACTACTACTACAGTTGCTGTTAGTCCTGCTTTTAATCAAGATCGAATGTGGCTTAATGGCAAGGTAAAAAAAAATAAAAATTTAAAGTGTGATTTTATGATTTTGATTACTATTTATTAATGGGGTTTGATTAATTTTTGTGATATTGGAAAAAATATTAGTTTTTTATGAGTTTAAATGTTTTAGCTGCTACATGCAAGACTGTAAGCTGATATGGTTTAATAGTACAACATTCTAAGCTAGCGGAGCTAGGATTTTCATTAAGGGTGAAAAATATATGAAGATGAGGAAGTCGAAGAGGTTCAACATATATTATATATGCAGAAAAAAAATTTTTAATCAAATACAAACAGTATAATTTTTCTCCGAAGGGGATCGAATGAACCCCTGGGCCCTTACTAGCTTTGCCCTGATTTTAAGTGTCTTTTAGCTGTATGTGACTACATGTAGTAGAATGAAGGAGGTTTAAATAAGGTATAGGGAACTGAGCTCTTCCATTTTATACTGAAAGTCTTCATTTTTGCTGGAATTTGTTACTCTCAATTTATGTGAAGGTGTTTGACGTAATACAGAGTTCAAGAGAAAAAGAGAAGGTTTTTGAAAATTGTGGTTTAAAACATATTGGAAACTTTTTGTGGATACAAAGCAATTTTTTAAACGGTAAAAATAAGTTTAAAGTTAAATTGTTACTCTTTCCATTTTAATTTGTTTGTCTGGTTTTGACTTCACACGAGGTTTAAGAAAGTAAAAAAAGACTTTTTAATCATCTGATCTTAAACTTAACATATGTAGAATGTACCAAAATACTCTTTAAAATCTAGTGGTTTTAAACATGTAAGGTGGAAAGTTAGAATTTAAGAGCTACCAAAAACAGAAAGAGACACTCTTTTCGAAATGAACTAATAAAGAAAGTAGGACAAATAAATTGAAATGGAGGGAGTACTAAATATAGAAAGAAGAGCTAACAAGGGTTGTAGTAGAATGGATAGGGTCCTTCCACGCTTAACCAGAGGTCTCGGGGTCGAACCCTTGGATATGTAATTTTTTGGTTAGGGAGTGGTTCCTCCTTAAATGACCTTACACGACACAAATCCGGATCAATCGGGCCCCAATGTAGGTACTGTATTAAAAACCAAAAAAATTAAGAAACCCGTCTTTCTTTTTAGATTGACTAAGGAAATTGTATCACATAAATTGAGACAGAAGAAACAGCTAAATTACCTTTTTTCCCATTTTGGGGTTGAGAGAGTGCATGATTGTTCCTTTACTATGTGCTGCTTTAGTAAGATACGCCTTTTAGTGCGGATTTATTAATTCTTGTGATTTTGGAAAGGACTAGTTCTTCAAGAGTATAAATATTTCTCTAATTTTGTTTGGAGGTATTCTTTGATCATTTCTAACTTTGCTTTTGTTGGTTTTTCTAGGAAATATCCCTCTCTGGAGACAGATACCAGAACTGTCTTAGGGAAATTCGAGCTCGTGCCAATGATGTCGAGGATGAGAAGAAGGGTATCAAGATCGCAAAAAAAGATTGGGAGAATCTGCACGTGCATGTTGCCTCTTATAATAATTTTCCTACTGCTGCGGGATTGGCTTCCTCAGCTGCTGGTTTTGCCTGTCTAGGTACTGCTAACTATTTCTTTGTTACTTGAATTCTGAATTTGTTTGTCGCTTCACTATTTTGTTTGTTTGATCTTCAGTGGCTGTTAGAATTAGTCCTCCTAATGGCTGCAGGAGATGAAAATATTGTCCTTCTCTGTCGAGCATTTGTATAAATGCTCATGTATATATGACACTAGTCAAGGACACGTGCGTTGCACGTGTGAGCTATGTTAAGGTGTATCATTCTCTGTGGAGAGACATTTGTAAAGCAGTGTTGTCATGAGTGGGTGCATTATTATTGATGTAGTAGAAGCGTACATTGTGTTAATTAGTCTTCTAATGATTGCATGAGATATTAGTAGGAACGCTGACATGAAGTTAATATGAAGTGTCAAAAGAGAAGTTTGGAAGTAATGTAAATTATTATTAATAATAATAATATTAAGACATTAGAATGGAATACAATATCAAGAAAGCTCATAATAGTACTGAAAGAACTATTCCGAATATGATATTAACGCATTGAAGAGTATGGGTCGCTGAAGAATCCATTATGTTTGCATAGGTGTGTCTTCTAAACCTGAGATTTGAAGCAATGTAATGTTACGTTGTTAGTATGCAGGATCTGTAAATAGTTAATTATTCGTGTTAGAATGACCAGATATGTATATGGAGTTCTCGTACCTAAAACTTCCTTATAGACGATGTTCTTTGTGTATGTTCCATTTTGATGTTTGGGTTGCTCTGTTAGGACAAGTACTTTTGTTGTGGACATAGATATCCCTCTTGAGAGTGCCACATACAATTGACCATGTGAGAAAACATGTTGGGGCAAATACAAACCAACATTTTGAATTGTTTGACCTTGGGCTTTATTTATAGTCATTGCAAAGCAAAGGCGTACCGGGAATTGCTTTCGAATGAATTTAAATAGGTATCCTTCATTATCTGGTGGTGATAATTAAATTCTAGGAAGAAACACATGGTTTGTTGCAGAATGACCACTTGATATTTCCGCTTGCAGGACATTTTGGGAGAAGCCTCGACATATCATTCGTGTTCCATTGCATAAGCCACTTGAAGGGTCTAAATTCCTTAGCAACATGATGGGTGCATTTTCCTTCAATTCTAACCTGCATTTAATAAGATATGTAAAAATCTATCCATTTTGATATTTGTTACCGCCTCTTCAGGATTGTAACTTGTAATGTATGATCATCAATACCTATGTGGTGGGAGACCGTTTGGTGTTAAAGTATTTAGATATTCTTCTTGGTAATAGTTGTTGGTGTCATCTTCTGCTGAGTCCAAACTATTGAATATCTTGCTTTCACCTGGGAACATGGCTATTAACTTGTCATTAAGTTTATCCACATGGTCATTTCAGCTTGCTAAAATAGCTCTTTCAGTGACATATTTTGCCGTAGCAGCATTTTCTTGCAGGTTTGGAAATATCTCTTGTATTATGGATTCTTCTGGAAATCCATCCCGAGAATGCTTGACAGTCAACTATTCAGGGAGAAGGATTAAATAGTCTCTTATTGTTGGTTCATCTCCGTTACCCACGCAAAGTAAGAACTCTCTGAATGTTGGATCTGTTCTTGCTCTCATATTAATTGTAAATTGAATCTTCTCCATTAAAGGCCAGAGATATGATTTCACCAAGCTTGCATTTACAATTTCCGCTCTAGTTGATTTTGGAACTACTGGTAACACCTGCCGAAAATCTCCTCCAAAAACCATTACTTTCCCACCAAATGGTTTATCGATGTCCATTATGTCTCTGAAGCTCCTGTCGACTGTTTCTATTGTTTGTCGTTTGGCCATTGGTGCTTCATCCCATATAATCATTTTTGCTTTTCTAATCAATTTGGCAGCACCACTTTGCTTTGACATGTTTGTCATAGTTGATTCATTTGTTTGAAGGGGGATCTCAAACCTCGAGTGTGATGTACGTCCTCCTGGTAAGATTGAAGCTGCTACGCTACTGGTTGTTGTTGCCAAACCTATCATACCTCTTGATCTAACATTGGCAAGCAATGCACGGTATAGGTATGTTTTCCCAGTTCCCCCAGGTCCATCCACAAAGAATATTCCAGTTGTTCCAGCATCGATTGTTTGCATTATTTTTGTAAAAGCATGATGTTGTTCTGGATTTAATTGTGACTGTGCCTCAAAATCTTCTGTAGGTATCTGCACAGACATTTCTTCATTTATTTCTCTACTTTCTGATGGACCAACTTCGAGCAAATCTTGATCTAGTTGAGGAATGTCATATATGGCTATGTTCTTGCCCATACTTTGCAAACAATTATTAATACTATTTAGGGTAGACTGTAATATAGTATTGTGTGAGTTGCCATATAGCCTGTTGAAATCCTCAGACATATCCTCATAATAAGTATCCCAAAGTTTTCTAATATCCGTTGGGTTACAATGAACCAAAATTGTAGCAAACAAACTTCGGAGAGCTGATGGCATTTTGAAGACAACAGCCTCACTTAAACATTCTGATATGCTGTTGTCGGACTCGAGTAACCCTCTTTCTTTGGCTGCTTCTTTGAAGGTCTGACATTGTTTGCCGTTGACCGTGAGTAAGTCATTGAATGACAATGGTCCTCTTACATGGTTTAGTAATAACCGCTCATAATACCTTTCCCCTTCTCGAGGATTAGCTGTACAATATAATCAATATGTACTAATTAATAAGCTTAATAATTATCGATGTGTATGAAGTTATAGTTTACTACATTTGGCTTACCAATTGCAATGCGACCAATTACAGATCTTGTTTTTCTTTTTGTCCAAGTCTTTACCTTTGAATTCCAAACATAATACTTTGGGAATTCTCTATAAAGGTATGATTGTGCTCCAGTGTCAATTGAGCACATTGAAATACTCGGTCAACATTGTCTGGTTGACACTATTCCAGGCAATGACATTTTGTAAATTTTGGTTTTTCCAATAAAACACCGTGAGCTTGTTTAGAGTTAGTTTTTGAATTTTGACTATTATAATTATTCGTAAAAGAAAGTGTTTATTATTATGCATTAATATGTGTACCTGAATGTTTTCCTGGAAGATGTAGTTGAAGGTTGATGACTGCAGGTTGCATTTCAGTCAAGTTGAATTCATATATTCTCCATAGTGCTTCAGGCGGTGAGACCCACCGCACATCTTGGAATGTTTGTATTTCATCAATAACATTTTCACCATCATCAGATTGAACATAAACGGCACACCGATCATGACCTTTATATATATACTTGTATAGATACTTTATTGCTTTGACTCCTGAGCAGACCTCAACATTAATGTGACAATTGTATCTTGTAAGCAGATAAGGGCCATAAGGTACCACCCATTGATTAGTCATATTCATTCCACGAACAGTCTCTATTCTTCCATCCATTCTTCTTTTGTAAATTGGATATCCATCATTTGCTTGGATTGATCTGTTGTTGTATGGCCTAGGATAATGATATTTACACTGTCCATTTTGCATGCATGTGTTTGTTGGACGTTTGTTTCCACATGGACCATGCATCATATGCCTGAGCACCAATTTATGCAAGATAGAATACTCACATTTATCTGGAATCTCTGCTGAGATAAACCTATCGTACTGATCTCCTGATTTGATCTTGTGCCCTTCTTTTAATATGAGAAGGAGGTGTATGTGTGGTAGTCCCCGTTTTTGGAATTCTACCACGAATACATGAGCAACAACAATTCCAAATATTTCTTTCTTAAAAATTTGGTCTTTTACATCCTGCAACTTAGCTCTGAATACTCTTGTCACCAAGTCAGGTCTATCTTGAGGAGTCTGTCGGGGGCGCAATTCTTGTTGGATTTCTATCCAGTCAGGATTACACGTCATTGTTATAAACAGATCTAGCCTTCCAAAATGTTGCAACAAAGCCATTGCATCCATATATCATTTTTTCATATCTCATGGGCCCCCAATAAAAGATGATGGAAGTAGTATTCTTTGCCCAATTCTATCTCCCCTGCATTCTCCAGTGCTGACATTATCAACGATACCTTGATAAACCTCTCTTCTAAAATTTGATTGTTCCTTTCTGAAATATTCTAGCCTTTTTGTTTCCAATTTTATGTACATGTCAACCACAAATTGTTGTAGTAATCTTCCACATAGTAGTAATACTGACCTCTCTGTTTCTTGTAGTTGTAGCTTATAACAATAGTACTCTCTGCAAGAAACATTTCCCTTTGTCTCGCGGCGGACATCTACAAGTGTAAGAAATCATATTAATATTATTTTTATTTAATGTTAGTTAGCATATTGGTATAATAGAAAAATGTATTTTATGATAATTGTATTTTGTACGTTATTTGTAGTAGTATTTTATATCGTGTATGTTTTTTTTTATCAGTAGCTAACTTGTGAAGAACGTGACTAAATTTTTACTATAAGAGGGCAGAAGGTGATATATTTTACCTTGATCCTCGTTGGCTAATATTGCATCAGCTGATATGAATGTTGGAATATCATGTGACTAATTTTTTACTATAAGAGGGCAGAAGGTGATATATTTTACCTTGATCCTCGTTGGCTAATATTGCATCAACTGATATGAATGTTGGAATATCATTGGTTATAATTGGGGAGTGAGCACTTCTTCTGTGAGGTAGTCTTTTGCTCTTTTTCTTATTCCTTGATGCCATCCGCCTTCACCTCTTGGGAATAGCAAAGGATATTGAAGAGGGTTATAACAACCGAAATAGTGTTTTACTCTATGCTTGTACCCTGAATGCATATGAACAATTATTTCTCGATCAAAAGATGTATTTGGATTGTTTCCATCGATCCAAATTGCTGCTACTTGACTTACCGAGGGTGTGTTGTACACTCGTTGATCCAAAGAGGCATTTGCAGCAATACGAAGTTGGAAATTGTGGAAACTTAATTGGTCTTTTAATTGGAAAAAAATTTGTGCATATGGGTTACCATCCATCACTTGTTTGATCTTTTTTGCAATTTGGTCTGAAAGAATGCCTTCATTCACCTTTGATAATCTGTTGGTCAACTCGTTGTCTGTATCAAAGAAGTATAGTTGGAAGTAACAGGGATTGTTATCACGCGGTACCAATGATGGTAGATCGTGATAAATTTGACCTTGTGCCCTGAATGTGTACACTCCTTTTCTTGCAGATGCTAGTTCCTTATCCAGGTTAACACCAAAAGATGTAAAAGCAAAGATGCTATTATATGCACGAATATTTTTGCGAAACTCTACGGCGTCTGGAGTAGATGCCACAAACATTTCGTATAGTTCTGTTGGAGCTTCAGTGGTTGCCAATTTGATATATCCGCTTGCACAACAGAATGCTGGAGGTTCATGTTCCAATCTTTTTGCAGCACAATAAATGCATTCTGGGACGGTTTTTAACACGTGCAGATATAATAAAGATAAGTTGTAAGCAACAGTTCCTACATATATAAATATGGGTAAAGATATATGTTAAGAATCTAATTTCATAAAGGTATTGAACGATGAAGTCATGTAAGATATGAATAGGGTTTTTTCAATGTACCTCCAGCTTCAGACTCTTCAGATAATGCTCTAAATAGCCAATTAATTTTAGGTTGTTTTTTCAAACGTGGATGTTCATCTTCTAGATGTGTTGTTGTTTGGGTTGCTAATATATATTTGTCCACTTTTCGCAATGCGCTTCGCAATTGACTTTTCTCTATAAGAGAAACAATTTTTGTACCATTTAGACAAACCATGTAATACTTATGTATGTATGTATGTATGTATGGAAATATGTTCGCGTTGTACAGACTACTCATGTATGTAGAATTTAACATGATTATGTAAGTTCTTACCTGTGTTGCTCAATTCATTTTTTATGTGGTTGTCATGCTGATCAAATTTATTGGTAGAAGGAATGCTTTTTCCTTTATCACCAGTTGGATTTGGCATGACAAGACAATAGTTTGCAATGGTTATTACAATAAGATAAAGTGAGTACTATATTTAGTATATACATGAAAAGAGATTTTCAAAACATTAATTTGTGAAAATCAAATGTAATTGTAAGTTACTTAAGTACTGTGTTTTAGAGATAGAGAAGTCACACATTGTTGAGCGGTGGATTTTGTTGGGGTGTTGTCCGAGATCTGGCATGTATAGTGTGTCTGATCTATTGTTGTTTTGGCCTGCTAACCAACATTACGTCTAGAAGCAATGGAGTTACCTTTATCACCTGTGAAGTGAATTGAATAGAAGGGTTATATTTTATTTTGAACTATGATAACTACTTAGCATATTACATTTACCTTGATGTTGGTTGTGTGTCATTGTTGATTTGATGGGGACAAATTTCGGATTGTTGGTGTGACACTTCTCTTGTCTTATCCGATCTAGCATATGTAATTTTGCAGTGATCTAGAACATAACGGAATCATTAATGCCAATTGAAGTCATTAATTTGGCATATATAGGTAATAAAGACCTATTATTCTGAATTGTTCTTTTTTCTTTGTATATATAGTTAAGAAATACATATAGGGTAGGATGCATGCATACCTTTTTATTTGTATGAGGATATAGATTGCTGCCGAAGATTGTTGTTGATTTGTTTTGAAGTACTAAATTGCATACATTGAATGCTTAGTGAAGCAGTTAACCAAATTCATTGATGTAGGAGAAAGTAAGTTACAAATAAAAGCGATTTTAGGTGTAGTTGCTCGGTGAAAAAAGGAAAGTAGGTTTTAAATATTAGTATTATGGAGATAATAAGCATTGTTAGTTAAATAGAAGGAAATTTAAAATCAACTATATATTAGTTTTTTTCCTCTTTGATCTTCTTCTCCATCGGACATGAAGTTTTTTCCTTTAACCTTCCTGGTCCTTTTTCTTTGTAGTTGAATTAGTGGGGTTTCGTCGTCACTTTCATCTGGTACATTCTGCCTTTCAACCTTATGTGTCCTCACTTTCTGTGGATTTTCATCTGCAATGGCTTCCTTAACTTTCTTGGTCCTTTTGCATCTATTTGTTTTGTGTGGGCTTTCAATGTCAGTTTCAACTGCTGCAATATCTTTTGCAACATGAGGTATGTCTGCAACTATTTCTTTCATTTTTTCATTATCAGTTAGTTACTTCATCCTCTTGCTTCTTTGTTTTGTAATCGGAGTTTTAACCTTGGTTTGATCTGCTGCATTTTTTTTTTGGAACCTCATGTATCTCCATAGCTATCACATTCATGTTTGCCTCAACATTTGGAAAGTTACGATCAATCTTCACAAGGATACTGAATTCTTTCCCCTTACTCAATACCAACTTACGATAGTATTCTGATTCTTCTTTCTGTGGAATAGGAACCCGTATATATTATTCTTTTAGTTAAAATAGGTTAACGTTATTTATATAGGCTAATATTTCATAGAGTAAGTGATTTACCTTTTCAGATGTAGAGAGAACATAGTCTTTTACGTGAGAACCCAAAAAGTATTTTGCAGCATCAAACAATGTAATCCTTAGAAATTGATCCTCATCAGTGACATCAATCTTTAACCGATATCTAAAATAAATTGGAAGATTTAATCAGTATGACACTAATTATTTGATAGTGATATAGTAAACTCATTTCAATAGTTAATCATTAATTTTTCATGTATCTGGTGGAGTAAGCAATATTTATTGTTTGTTTGTGTAGTTTACCTCGCCTCATAATCAATATCTTCAGTCCTACAGTAGGTACAAGTTGCATTACTATTTATAACAGTAACTCGCTTGTAGCATTTCTTGCAAGCATGATACCATGGGTCGGTGTTATTGTCAATGCCGGAAACCATAGCATTGAACTTATAGTACATGTCCTATACGTAAATTAGGTAAATCATTTAATTACATCTGAAACATATAATTTGAGTACAAGATGGTTGTTGTATAGGAAAGTACCTTCACAATGGCAAGTGAACCGTTTAAAATATTAGTAATTTTCACTTGGCGGGCTGTTTGCATTAGTCTGCTTGGCATTAGACTTAAGTCAATCTTTTGTGCCTTCATGTTGTCATTCCTGGGATTTTGAAGTAATGGGGAAAAAAAACATTAATGACGTAGCATGTGGGTAGTGTCTGAATAAGTGTGATGAAAGATGTATTACTTACCATTCTTGGAGATTGTTTGCTTTTTCAAATTGTGGATTTATTAGCAAACTACTAACAGGAGTCGTGGAAAGGACAAAATCTCCTATTTTGACAGGTTTAATTAATTCAGTGATACTTTTATGTAGTTTGAAACTTGACTCAAATATATCAAGTGTGGAGATTTATACCTTGGTAAATGGATGATTTTACATCACAAAAGGCAAGCACTAGTTTGTCACTTTCAAGGCTCTGTAACATTTGACCTTCGATTTGAGCGAAGTCTCCCCATAAAGTCATGACTTTTCGATCATATATATGTAACAAAGAATATTTTTATGATAAATGTTTATTAAAGTGAAATATTTATATGTAGGATGCCTAGAAAGTATATGTTACCTTTCATTTGTAACGATTACTTCGCGTCTAATGCTTCGTCCTTCTCTAGTTAGTGCTTTTACTGTGAGTAAAATACAGACCACATCTAAACAAAACAATGTGTTACAAAATACTGATTTTGTTTATGTATGGAACAAACAACAAACATTTAGTGAAATTTACCGAACAAACTCCCATTAGTGATTTTTTCAGCTTCATCAAATGAAATAAATCCATTCGAAAATTGTTCAGTCTTAAATTGGCTTTTGTCCTCAACGACATCTGTGTTGTTCATAAATGCTAGTTCGAGGTCCTTATGCACAGATAAGAAGTTTGGCTTAGCTCCATTTAATTTTCCATTTATAATGTAGTAACTTTGATTAAGTTGAAAAGACTTGTTCCATGCATGAACATCTTTGTTGAAAAGAGTCGTTTGTATTTTTGTACCCTATGGTAAGGACCATAATCATTACAATCGCAAAAGAAGTCAACATATTAACTAATGAATATAATAAAATATTAAAATAGAGTTACCTCTTCGTCGACTAATATCAGTTGCCAATGAATACCCTCACCGTTTGCATTTTTATACTCTTTTGTTAAACTCCGTCGAATGACTAAGACTTTAATCACCCATTCTGTTGCATATTTCTTCAACTTACTAATTGGTAGGCACTGGTTCTCGAGCTCTTCCAGACTTGTCATTGTATTGTTGTAGTAGCTAGGATGTACTACTACAATATATATTTGTGACGTAGATGCTATTTATTTTTCTATAATTAGTGTTCTTTTGGTCTAACAATAAAGATGCTTAAGAATATAATATTCACCAAGCATAAACTAATTCTTCTTTTTTAATTTTAAAACCGAGCAACTACAACTAACAATAGTATAAATATCACATTAATTGAAGCAAGTTAATCCAAGGTGGAGAAATGTTACCAATTTTGGTGTTGCCGAAAGGAAGAAACCTGTTAAAAGTAGTAGAACATGAAGAGATAATAAACGTAATTTCAAATAGAAGGAAAACAATAAAAATGTAACAAATTATTATAACGGAAGTATTGCAAACATATCGGCCTCAAAACGGAAGAGTCCTTGGTGGACAATCTATTGGCATATAACGGAAGTATTTCAAACGTTTCGACCTCAAAACGGAAGAGTCCTTGGTGGACAATCTATTGGCATATAACGGAAGTATTTCAAACGTTTCGACCTCAAAACGGAAGAGTCCTTGGTGGACAATCTATTGGCATATAACGGAAGTATTTCAAACGTTTCGACCTCAAAACGGAAGAGTCCTTGGTGGACAATCTATTGGCATATAACGGAAGTATTTCAAACGTTTCGACCTCAAAACGGAAGAGTCCTTGGTGGACAATCTATTGGCATATAACGGAAGTATTTCAAACGTTTCGACCTCAAAACGGAAGAGTCCTTGGTGGACAATCTATTGGCATATAACGGAAGTATTTCAAACGTTTCGACCTCAAAACGGAAGAGTCCTTGGTGGACAATCTATTGGCATATAACGGAAGTATTTCAAACGTTTCGACCTCAAAACGGAAGAGTCCTTGGTGGACAATCTATTGGCATATTATGGCAATAGCTTTATTTTGTAACAGCTTAACTGGACGCGAATGCTATATTTTCTACTACAGCATATATCAACAGCAGTATAGCTAATAGTAGTTTATTTAATTAGAGATTTGGAGATTATGTATTTCTTAATGTAAGGTATAGATTTGTTGTGTGAAAATAATATCTTCTTCGAATTCTGTATGTTTCTATTTTTTGGACAAAATTATGGGTTACTAAGAATGCCTGAAGGTTAAATTCCCTATATAGTTTAATTGTTCTGTTAATTAAGGAGTCTTTGTTGCTGATTTTCACTCAAACTCAGGTTGACAATTTAATTTCCGAGGAAGCTAAATGTTTGGGAGGTATAGGATTTTTTCCAATTGCTTCAGCAGCTGGAATCATTGTAAAACTTTCCTAATGTAAGGTATAGAATTGTTGTGCTAAAATAATCTGATCATTTTCTTCTTGAAATAGGATTTTTTCTAGACTCGAAGAGAACATGCCATGCATATAATGACTTGCTCTTTCTGACTCTATTAGGAATTTTGGTGTCCCTTGACTTTATCACACCTCATTGCTCACTACGCTACACCTTTGGAAGAGCCTCTAAGAAACAATTGATAAGTGCAATCAATACTTTAATTGAGTGCTCTTTCTGACTCTGTTAGGAATTTTGGTGTCTCTTGACTTTATCCCACTTCATTGATCACTACGCTGCACCTTTGGATGAGCCTCTAAGTAACTCTTCTATGTCTGTTTCATTCCATTGCTATATTACCTCTGTTATTGCAAAATTTTAGTTAACTTTGATTGGGCACGATCAAGGCAAAGACATGACCTGAAGTCTTAACTGTTCCAAATGGTTACAGCTAACTCATTGATGATTTTGAATTTTTAGCGTATGAAGTGTTTTAATGTCTAATTTCTAGTAATATGATATTCAAAAAGCATCATTTTTTTATCAGTAAGGTTCTTATGGACAACAATAGTTAGGAAACTAATCAATTTAGTCAGTAGAAAAGAAGTAAGTTTTTCATGTTTGAGTTTAGATGATCACACTTTGCTAAACGTATCCAAGCAATATTTCTTAGAAAATGTAAAGGAAAAAAAGACAGCAAAGCGGTCATATAAGACTGTCTAAAAGCTATCAAGTAAAACTGATCGCAATGTGCGAGGAAACTAAGGATGTAAATATAGTTTCGATTAGCATCAAAACAGAGCAGAAGCAAAGCGTCAAGGTTAGGAAAGTAGATTAACCTTAAGAAAACGCTCTCGCCTCTTGTCCCCTACAGCAAAGTAAAAACATCTGTAGTGTTTAAAACCACAAAACAACATTTAACAGAAGTTAATGATTTTAAGTAAAAAAAGAACAGTCGAGAAGCTAAAAAGGAACTGAAGACTGCATAAACTCCAATATATGTTTTCCATCACGGGTTGTTCATATCATCCTGGATAAAAACTTTCTACGATAGGACGTGTCACGGCCGGGATAAAACTCAGTTTGGTTACCTAGGCTATCTTATTTGTTAGTGCACGTTACATGGACCAATATCATCTATCAAATGTCAATTCAGAGCCCATAAATATGTTGTTTTTACATTGGATGTGAATCCATTTATGACGGTCCTTGATAAAATATATCTACTCAAAGAACTATGCAATAAGAGATTATTTAAGAATTAATGCAATGGAACAATTCTGGATGAAGTTGATTACTAAATTGCACCACGGCCAATGAGTAAATTATTGCCAGAAATTGTTTAGAGTAAAGTGGCATGGGTAATTGGTCTATTAATTTGTTCAAAATAACACTCTGTTGGCTGCTTTGTCACGGTCAAGTTAAGGTGGTCATGTCATAGTTAGTTGGACTTTTAAATAAAGATAATTTCTTAGTCTCCGGTTGCCATTGCATTGAATTGGTTACTCTAGGAGAATGATAATTTCTGCCTGGCAGAAACTAAAAGCTATCAAGTAAAAGTGATTGTAATGTGTGAGTTCATATAAGACCATCTAAAAGCTATCAAGTAAAACTGATCGCAATGTGCAAGGAAACTAAGGGTGTACATATATTTTCAATTAGCAGCAAAACAGAGCAAAAGCAAAGCGTCAAGGTCAGGAAAGTAGATTAACCTTAAGAAAGCAGCCCCGCCTATTGTCCCCTACAGCAAAGTAAAACACTTGCAGTGTTTAAAAACCACAAAACAACATTTAACAAAAGTGAATGATTAAAATTTTAAAAAAAAACAGTTGAGAAGATAAAAAGGAACTAAAGACTGCATAAACTCCAATATATATTTTCCATCACAGGTTGTTCATATCATCCCGGATAAAACTCTCGACTTGAGCACTATGCATACTTTGACTGAAACGACAAAACAACAACAACAGTGCACAGATAATGACATAGCATAGAAGATTTCGCGGCATTAGTGCCCAAGAAACTATTGATGATGTGCGAGCTTGGGATGGCTCAGCATGGTGATGGAAAACAATACATGGAACTGGACCAGTTTAAGGGTTATCATCCTTACGATCAGAATGTGCACTGGAATCTTTGATTGTCCTGCCCTTCGTTCATGATCACAGTTCTGTTGACATTTGGCCGTAACTATTATGCAAAAAAACCAGAGTAGGAACAATATTTACCTGATAATGATGTATTTCATTCAAGCACAGAAAGAGAAACAAAGCTTTAATGGACAATAACATGTTGTTGGAGACATTTATACAGATGAGTGAAGACTTGAAGTATCTGAAAAGTTTTGGAAGAACGGATAGCTGAGCGTTGCAGAAGGGAAGGTTGAGCAGCAACTATACAACTGTTATAGCGATCGTGAGGGAAGTGGAACAGGAGGTATACGTTTCTGCAAATTAAATTAGGGCTGACAGCAAATTAAATTTATTATAAATTTACTTTATAATAAATTAATATTTAACTAATATTTTAAATAAATTAATATTTAAGTAATACTGCAGGGGTAAAATGGTAAATCAACTTTGGGGTTAAGAGGTTCATGCTTATAATAATACTAGTTTTCGAACACGTGCGTTGCACGTGTATTCCAGGCTAACTAATAGTTTATTAAAATAATATTAGAATAAATGTGTGATGAGTTATATGAACTTTTAAAGGGATATGTTACCTTTTGTCTGAATTAAACTTCAGAGTCATTTCATATTCAAATTTAATAGAAATCATTAGTTAAAATGTGTATATATAATATCAAATGTAATATGACAAACTATTAAGATCAACGTGCTTCATGCGATGCAATATCACATTAGACAAAGAACTTCAAAGCATGAATTAAACCTCTAAAATACATGTTCATTATCGACAATATATCATCTCATATATAACAAAAATTATCTATAGTAATTCATGCAATTACAAATTCAAATGTAACCCAAATTAAAGCTTAATAGCATAAAAACACAACAACTTTACTAATCAACATCACCTGGGGTAAACTACCACAAAATGCATTCTTGACAAAATGTAACACCCCGTATTCGAAACAGACCGAAAATACAGATTTCGAGAAGTTGCAGGTGCAACTTATGGTCACCATCTACAGACCGTAGATCAGACCACGGCCCGTGCTGGTGGTCCGTGGTTCACCACTGCAACCCCTCCCAGACTCAGTCAGAAAATTTGGCTAAGTGTTAACCCACGGCCGGACTTACGGTCCGTAGGTCAGGTCACGGACCGTAGTTCGTGTCCGTGGATCGATGCCCCAAAAGCCCAGCTTCAGTCCCGATTGACGGTTGACCAGCACGAACATTATTAAAAAATTAGGTTCAAAATGTACTATAAAATACAATAATTAACAACTTAATATATTAAAGAGACATATAAAAAATGGTTAATATTTGAAATTCTGCATGTGCCACATAAATTAGAACAAATAGAGTAATAAATATTACTTTCAAAATTATGTTAAAAAAAAGTACTACAAATCACAATAGCTAACAATTTAAAATATTTTTAAAATCATATAAAAATTTCAATAACTTCTCAAATTCCATAATATAACACTTAAATACTACATATTATATATTAATTATACTATACTATAAATGACTTAAATACTCCATATTATCTATTACAATAATTAACAATT